CAAAAACGCGCGCATTCTCGAGGTGCCCTCCAAGTGGGCGATCAGGTCCGGCACCGACGGCAGCCCTCTGGGCCGTCGGGCTCTGCCGTTGCGGCTCCGATAACTGAATCCTCTCTCTCAGCGCAGATGGTTTGCCTCTGGGTCGGGCTCGCGCGCAACGGCGCAGGCACCTAGTGAGGCAACCCCGCGGCGCGAACGCTCCCCCTTAAGGCCACTCTTGCCAAGTTCTCCCGGCATGAATCCAGGCACGGTAGGACTATCCGCCCCTTGTCTTGAGATCCGAGTGCGCTGTGCTCCACCACGCGAGGCCCTCTCAGAGCATTGGGCCTCGATGTCCTTTCTGCGGGCAAACAGATTCAGCGCGCGGCGCCCGCGAGCAAAAGAGAACCGCCGCAAAACATCCGAACCTCATAATCAGTTATGTTTGAAAACTTGTTTGAAGCGAAGCCAGGCCGGCGCGCGGGCGTGGGCCGCGTGCGGAGGGCGAAATCGCAGCGCCCGCGTCGGCCTCAGATTGCCGCCCCAGTGCGAGCGCCAAAATTGGCCGCGGCACGGCGGCGCCTCGCTTCGCCCAAGCCATCATGCCAAGGGGGGGGTCCGAAATCTCACCGCCCGCGCGCAGGAATTGTTCGCGCGGCCGCGCCTGTCGCCACCCGACCAGAAAGCCCGGCCCGCGCCAATTCTTGCCCCCAAAACAGCACCACTATTTGTAAACTCAATTATAAGTGCGCTTGTTGGGCGACTGCTTCGGGGGGAAATTTCGGGGGCCCGACGCGCGGGCCATGTTCGGGAAAATTGTGGGGCGCAGATGCGGGAGAAGAAGAACCGTCCCCCATAAAACGCCGCGCGCGCGAGCCAGCCGCGGCCCTGCCGCGCGGTTGGCGCGGCGCCGCGCGAAATCAAGATTTGGCGCGCCGCGCAAGGATCGAAATAAATCGAGACTGCACCCGCGCGCGCCGCGCGCACCAACGTGCCGCCACCCGCCAATCCGCTTCTGCATGGGCACAACCGCAATCACGTAATGAATTAATTGCTCAATGTGATGAGTCGTTCTCGAATCATGGCCTTCGCTCGGCAGCGTAGCCGGGCGCGGGCGCGCGGGGAATTCGCCCGCGCATCCCCTCGACAAGAGGCACCGTCAAAAATGGCGCAGGAACGGAAGCCAAAACGATGTTGAATCGCAGCGGGGCTCGTCGCATTAAGTGGTACCCACCTGTCAATGTGACGGGGCGCCGCGTCGCCGGCGCCGCGCGGCGCGCGCGGGTCATCCGAGCGCGGGGGCGAAACCGCAAGGCGTGACCTGGCATCGCCCACGCTGGCAGCCCAGCGAAAGATCAACTTGGAAGAGCACCCGAGCACGAAGTGGCATCCGCCTCCCAATGTAGCCACCGGGCGCGCGCCGATGTCGACGTCGACGTCGTCGTCGCCGCCGTCGACTCGCGCGCCGTCCCCAGCAAAAACGCGGTCGGATGCACCCCCGCATTGGGCGGGGGCGCGCTCGGTGCGCAAACAAAAAAACATGGGTCGCACATTTCGTTGTCCGGCGAATCTACTCCACGATAAGGATGGGGGCGGGCCCACTGTGTAAATTCACGCGTGGGGTGCAATCCCACCTAACGATCGGGCCCGGGCGGGCTTGGCGCGAAAATCCACGCGCTGAGCGCGCTTCTCGTTAAGTGGCGTGCCCACTTGAAGATTAGCTGTTTCGCACTCGGTGCGCGCAAAAAAAGAACGAGAAACATCGATCGTTAAATCAGACTGGCTCTACTTTTTGATAGGAGCATTTTTAATGTTTCGGAATATCAGAATCTGACTTAACGATCGATGCTCCCCATCCTATATTTCGCACACCAAACGCGAAAACGCCCGATCGTTGCTGGCGCGCCACGTGACGCGGCACGCGTTTAGTGCGTGAGCTCACACATCAAACCTGCCGCGGCCCGATCGTTGAGTGGGATTGCCGGGCAACGTAAACTGCATCCTGTGTGTGAATTTCCTCACCGCCCCGCCCGATCGTGGGCGCGGTTCGTTGGGCGACGCCCCGCGGGTTTCACTGGTCTCGCAGGCCCCGCAGGTCCCGCATATCCCACAGATCCGCAAGTCTTCGCCGGCGGCGGCGCGCCAAGAGACGAGAGGGAATCGCGCGGAAACCGAGGCTTCGGGCAGAATTGCCCATCCCCTTGAAAAAAGTGCCCAACAAGAGTGGCCCAATGATGGGGGCCGAAACGTTGTTGACTCGAAGCGGGCGGCGCTCGTCGCATTAAATGACATCCACATGTGAATGTTACGGGACACCGTGTCGTCTGCGCTGCGCGGTGCACGCGAGCCACTCGACCGCGGGAACGAAGCCGGAAGGCATGGCCAGGAATCGCCGGCGGCCCAGTGAAGGATCACCTTGGAAGAGCACCCAGGCATTAAACGGCATCCGTTTCCCAATGTTGCCACCAGTCGTGCGAACCAAAGTACTGCATATCGGTGACATGGCCCATGGTGCACACCTGCGCACGCTACCAACATTGAACATCGAAACTCGCTGAACGATTATGTTTGGCCGTCACCGTCGGCATATCATTCAGGATGATCGCCTTGTTGATGTTGTGAAAACTGTTCCCGGCTGTGTATTTCACAATCACCACATTCACTTCGACCCTTCTCTTTACAGCTCGTCTGGTTACCAATGCAAACGACGTCAGGATCTCTATCCATCAAAGTTTCGGCTGGTAACCGGTGCTTCGTGAAGTAATCGTCATTCCCCATCGATTGAGCGCGATCCTTGCTCGCATCCCTTGACTCAGGGATCCTTGCCGGCGGATCTTGTGGATGGATGGTACTGTCACGATGTTATGCGACGTGGCAATACTATTCCAACAAGTAGAAGGACAAGTCTGGGCGGTGATGCGCGCGTGCTATGCGAGATATGGGCGCACCCTTTCTCGGTAGACGTGAACGCGCCCAGTCCTTTACCAATCAATTCAGCGAAACGCGCGCAATCTTGTTCGAACGGTTACTCAAAAGAGAGGCGGAGGTAACGATGGTAACGACTAGAAAAAATGATCGCCCCCAGGGCGATCAGAATGATTGCCATGCCATCTGAAAGTGCCGATTTTGCCTGGGACACTCGCAACACATCCGACCAGCCCTTGAGGCTAAGGTGATATTTCTCTCCTCTTCCAAAACGACTTTTCCCCTCGAGGAGGGGGGGTACACGCCCCCATCCCGTCCCTGAGGTTTTTGGGGCGGGCCGCGATCGGTCAGAGCGTCCAAGATGGCCCACGATGGCTCCAGGAGGGCCTCCGATGCTCCAACATGGCCTCCAAGGCGGCTCAAGACAGCCGAAGATGGTTCAACATAGCTTCCGACATACCTCCAAGAGGCCCGACGAATGCCACAAGAAGGTTCCAAATGCTCTCGGAACCTCGTCAGGACCCCCCCAAGAAAGCAAAATCCGTAAAAAAAAAAAAAACGATGGGACCTCAATAATGTGTGCCTTCTCGCCCTTTCGTTTCCGACGATGCGTTTTCGAGGCCGCAGGATGGCCCCAGGGCTGCCCAAAAGGCCCTCCAGACGGCCCCAAGAGCGCGCCAAGGAAATTGGGGACCCCCCCTCATGGTGGCCTCAAGAGCCCTCACAAGGATCCCGAGGAGGCTCCAGGAGAGCCCCAAGAGGGCCCCAGGGGCGCCCCAGAGCGCCCCAAGACCGTCTGGCCTAGGTGAGGGACCCCCATTTTGATCGATGGCCTACAAGATGGCCTCAGGAAGCCCTCCAGGGCTCTCAACAGAGCCCCAAGAAAGCCCCAAGAGGGCCCCAATAGCCCACAAAAGATCCCCGAGAGGACCCCAAGATCACCCAGAAGAGCCCCAAGAGGGCTCCAAGAGGCGATTTTGAGGGCTCTGTCCTCGTCCCGGTTGCCCTCCTCCACCTCCCCGTCCTCCTCCTCCTCCTCCTCCTCCTCCTCCTCCTCCTCCTCCTCCTCCTTCTCCTCTTGCCCCTCCTCCTCGTCCCTGTCCTTGCCCTCATCGTCACCTTTTAGTTGTCCTCCTCTTCCTCGTCGTCGTCGTCGTCGTCGTGGTCGTCGTTGTCTTCTTCCTCGTCCTCCTCCTCCTCCTCCTCCTCCTCCTCCTCCTCCTCTCTCCTCCTTCCCTCGCCCCCGCGCGGGCCCCAAAGATGGCCCGAAGAGGCCCTCCAAAGCCACCCCCTTGCTCCCAAAGATCTCTCCGTGCACCCTTGTTGCCCGCTTTGTTTCACTATATCTGTCCCTTCGTCCCTTTCCCCGTCGGCTCTTATGGGCAGGGTTTCTGAACGGGCTGGTGGGATACGCGAAGCGTGAAGACGCAGTACAAGTAAAACACTTGGGAAGGGGGGCACGACGGAAGGGGAAGACGACACTCAGACATCCAACGCCGTGGAAGAAACCACGACGGACGGAGATACTAAGAAGACGTTTCTGGCCCCAGGGTGCCGATTTCGGGCTCCGACCCCGTCAGAAAATGACCGAGGGTGGAAAACTGGCCCGTGGGAAAGGGTCTGGCCTGCCTGGGGACCCCGCCTTGCACACAGATCAGGAGGTCGGATGTCTGGGCCGGAGGCGGGGACTTCTGCCTCTGTGCCCGTTGGTCCATTTCCCCTCCGCATTGCGGTAGCGTGGCAAAGTGTGCTTGATGCCATTGCGCGCTACGCTGCTCATCCCGAAAGGCAAGACAACGACTTGCTGCGCAGGTCAAGATAAGAAGCATCAGCCGTGCTTCCCGAAGTGGTCGTGTGGTTTCATATTGGTTTTCATGTTGGCTGGCTATGAAGGCCTGGCTAGGGCCACGGCCCCAATGTGGAGAGCCCTGGAACCAGGAGGAGGCCGAGCGAACCACACCTGAGGCAGGCTTGGCGCTGAATCGCTGAGTTCCAAATCCCGAGGTGGCGACAGGAGGAGGAGCGGGCCACGCCCGGGGCAGCCCCGGCCCCGAGGAAGCGAGCCGAGAGCCCCGCGGGAAGAGAGCGAGCCGCTCCTGTCGTCCCCGGCCGCCACCGCCGCGCGGCCGCCAGCCTCCCCGTCTCTCACTCTCGCTCGCGCGGGCGCGGGACCTTGTTCTGCTCGGCACATCCCCATCCATCTCCTCGGCACATCACCCTCCTCCTCCTCCTCCTCCTCCTCCTCCTCCTCCTCCTCAGGTCCTCCTCCTCCTCCTCCTCCTCCTCCTCCTCTTCCTCCTCCTCGTCCTCCTCGTCCTCTTCCCCGCTTTGCCGTTGCACAAATCCTGGCGCGCTATAATGGGCTGTTGCATCCTAACGGCCGCGATCCGGGAAAGAACGGGATCGGAACGCAGCGCTCGATCAACAGCAACGATGTACGACCAGCGCGTGCACTATCAGCAAAAAGGAAAGGCGAACAACAATGGAAATCCTCCTCCTCCCCCCCTCCTCCTCCCCGCTCGCCTGCGCCGTCGCCCGCTGGATTCAGGGACGTGGAAGGGGAGGCCCCCGCCAGCCCGGAAGTCGGGGAGAGAACGGCGAATCGAGGCCAAAACAGCAGGCAAACTTCAAGTGGATCGAAGCGAAAAACCCGTCGGCTCAGATCGGAAACGGATCGTACGGGATCGAATCGAAATCGGGTCGCCGCGACTGGCTCTGGCCAGCCGGAACGAGTCGCGCCGAATCGGTCCCATCCCCCCCAGCGGCGCTGGCAAGTCCACCCCCTCCCGACAATGACAACAAAACGAATACAAATCTGGACGAGGACAAATCGGAAATCTCTGACTCGGGCTGAGGATTTCAGCTGGGTCACCGTCAACTGCTCGGAGAAGCCTTTTGCACGGACTTCTATGTTGACATCGGTGTGTGCCAAGGTTGTGCATGTGTTGGAGGAGGGTTTTTATGAAACGCCTCATATTCCACAAAATTGGGTTGGACATAATCGGTTTGCTAATTCTGGCTTGTTTTCCTTTACATAGATATACTCTTCAAGTCGGGTTTTTCATGTGAACAGAGTGACCGCTTAAATTCTGAAATTCGACATCCGAAGACGCCAGTGCATGACGAAACGCCAAGGGAGGCATCACTGATCACCCCTTGCACGGACACGAATCGGACGACGACGACGACGACGACGACGACGACGACGACGACGACGACGGAAATGACGATGACGACGACGACCACGACCACGACGAACACGGCGACGGCGACATCAATGAGAGGCTGAGGCTCTTAAAGGGATCCAGAAGGGTTCTTGGGAGGATCATGAGAAGTTCCTGAGCGGTTCCTGAAAGGCTCCTGCGAAACTCCTGAGATGCTACAGTCAACCCGCGTAGTAAGGATGCACGATAAGGATGCAAGGGCCTTGGGAAACTATGTTGACGTTTTTCGAGCGGAGCGCCGCCGAATACCGAAGGATGCAAGGGCACCCGAACGCACCCCCATCCTTGCCGAACTGGCGCCTGGGGCACAAGCAAAGACAACGCAAGGATGCAAGGGTGCCCTTGAAGGTCGCGCGTCCCTGCGGGCACGGCGCGTACTCTCAAGGGCATCTATGGGCGGCGCCCACCTCGGTGGCAAGGATGCGCCAGGGCGACATGCGCTGCTCGCCAGATGCGCGACGGCGCGCGCATTGCGGCGGCAAAGAGGATGCGCGAGAGCGACCTGCCTGGCCCGCATCCTCAGCGGCGCCCCCAAGGTGCGCCGCGCGCTACAGGCTGCGGCGGCAAGGTTGAGCAAAGGGGCCACGCCTGGCCCACATTCGTATGCGGCGCACCCAGCTGCGCCGCGCTGCGCGCAATGCGGCGGCAGGGACGCGGGGCGCCCCGCCCGAGGATGCGTCGCGCACCCTTGGGCCCGCGGCCTCCCGCGAATGGAAAGACTGCAAAAACGGGGCGGAAGATGGCCAAAGGTGCCTTGCCCATCGCGCATCCCCAGGGCCGCGCCGGGGTGGGAGTGCAAGGAAAACGCGTCGAAGGATGGGCAAAAGTACCCCGCGCGCCGCGCATCATCAGGGCCGCGGCCCACCGCGAATGAAAGGACGGAACGACATGCCCAAAGATGGCCAAGGGTGCCCCGCCCATCGCGCATCCGTTAGGCTTGCCCCTCCAGGGGCGTAGCGCCGCGCAACCGAAGGACGCAGCCCGCCCCGCGGGCGCCCTAAGGGGCTGGCCAGCGAAAGTTGCAAGGGATGAACCGAAAGGACAAGGGCGCAAGGGCAGCCCAGGACAAGTTGTTCATCCTTACCCCGCGGGTTGACTGCACCTAGAGTCCCGCGAAGCCTCTGAAAAACGAGATTGAGAGGGTTGCGTTAAGGCGTTGAATGATTAGTTGCAAGATCTCGCGATCTCGCAGGTTCATGCAAGACCCTTGGCAAGCTCGTGAAAGCCATGCGTGGCTCATCGACATCTCCCAGGACCCCCTGTGAAAGGCCCTCGAGAAGGGGGGCTATTGAAAGGCTCCTACGAAGCTCTCGAGGCGCTCCTAGAAGCCCCGCGGACTCGTGACAGAGCTGCGAAAACGAATGCCGAACAGCCACTCGCAGGCCCCAGAGAAGGTTCCTGGCAAGCTCGCGAGAAAGCCCTGCACAACTCATAAACAACTCCCGAGACCTCCCGCGGAATGCCCCTGGGAAGGTCTTGAGAAGCTAGGCTCCTGACAGTGCGGCCTAAGCCCACCTCCGAATTTTGCATTCGGCGGCCGCGCATCTGCTTCGAACCGTGCCCCGTCGTTCCGAAAGATTGTCCTGGCCGCCCAGCTCGCCCTCCGACAATGAAGATCCGCCAGCCCCCACTGGGGGCCAACAGGCTGCGCGGCTTGGGCTTTCCGGTTCCCCGCTCCAATTCCAATTCAAAATCCAGAATCAACGTTTTCTCTTTACTGGTTGCAGCGTGATGCTGCAAGCCCGCGCGTGGGGGGGATTCGAAAATCCAAAAATCCTCTCCCCCACCTGGGGTGATCCGAATTCCTCGGGGTGCCTTCGGAAACGTTGAACACGTAACGAATTCGCTTCCGACGCCATAAACTCATGCAAAATGCACCAGGTTCTCGCCCCCGTGGCAACGCCCCCGTATACGTTGCGCCATGCTCGCTCCCCCCAATCCAATCCTTCGTCAATTACAAGCTCGTGCCCACGATGCAATAATCCCGCGCAACTGACGACTAGCCCGCGTCCCAGCAGACACCATCCCATGTAAATTGCGCAAGGCGCTCGCCCGCAAGCCACCATCCCTTGTGCGCGACGCCAGAATAATGCGCCCGAGGCCACAGTCTGTTGTAACTTGCGACAAGTTTGCGCCCCTGGAGCCCACGCGCCATGAAAATTGCGCCAGGTTCGCGCCCCTATTTGCGCCATGCTCGCGTTCCCCAACCTGAACCGCAATCCCCGGTCAACTGCAAATCCGCGCCCACGAGGCCGCAGACCCGTGTAAAATCCAACTGTCTCGCGTTCCCGAAGCTACTATCCCATTGAAACAAACAACACGCGATTCACGCCTCAACGCCACAATCCCTTGCGAACTACGCCGGAGTCACGGCCCCGAAGCCACTGCCCGTTGTATTTTCCATCATATTAGCACCCATGGGGCCAGCCCCTCGTGAACTGAGCCAGGTTCGCGCCAGTCGCCCCCTGTCGATTACGCCGTGCTCGCAGTTCCACAAGCTACAAGTACCCGTCAGTTGCAAATGCGCGCCCGCGAGGCCACGATCTCGCGCGCATTGCGACTGGCTCGCGTACCCGAAGCCACAATCCCATGCAAATTGTTCACGAGCCATGCCCCCAAGCCACAGTCCTGTGCAAACTGCGCCAGAATCATGCCCCCGAGGCCATAGCCCGTTGCAGCTTGCAACAACTTTGCACCCATGGGGCAACAGTTCCTCATATATTGCGCCAGGCGCGCCCCCGCGGCAACAATCCCCTTGCGAATTACGCCGCCAAAATCCAGCGCGCACTGCGACTCGCTCGCTTTCCCAAGGGTTCACGCCCCCATGCCACCATCACTTGTAAACCAAGCTAGAAGTGTGCCCCCCAGGCCATAACCCCGCGCAGCTGCCACAAGTTTGCGCCCCTGGAGCCGCAGCCCCTCGCGCGCTGCGCCAAGTTCGCGGCCCCGCGGCAACTGCCCCTTATGAATCACGCCACGCTCGAGTTCGCAAGGCTACAATCCCTTGTAGCTCGCGCCAGGCTTACGCCCCCGAGGCCAGGCCACAATCCTTAAATTAGCAAGCGGCGGCGCCCCCGAGGCCAGGAATCCGCGCCGCGGAGGCCGCCGAAAAGCGCCACCCCTCACCAATGTTCAGAAAATCTCTCATGGCCTGGGATCTGTGTTCGGGTTTTTCCTCTGGCCCCCCGTCGCTTCCTGAAGCCGCGGATCGAGCTCGAGGCCGCGAATCCTTACAAACAACTAGGGGCGAGCGCGCCCGAAGCCTCGAACCCTCTGCGGGGCGCAGTGGAAGCGCGCCCCCGAGGCCACCATCCCTGATTAATTATCAAAGCGGCGCGCGCGACCAGCCAACCAGCGAACGTACCAAACCAATTGTCAATTGCCAACTTAGACAGCGCAAATTCGCCGAGTTGCCAGCCAGTCAACCGGCAAGAAAACCAACCTGCCAACCAAACGTGGCCACGCAAGCAATCTGAGAGGGGACCGGCGGCAGCGGGCGAAATCCTTCAGGCCCGGCCGCTCCCGCCACGTGGTTGGGCCGCGCGAGACAACTTTGCCAGCGCCTGGAATGGTTCGCCAGGGCCCGGTTCAACCCTCCTTTCAGCCCCTCCAGTGGGCCGCTACTCCGTCGGCAGCCCCTCGCGAGCCTGCGCGAGGAAAACATACTGAAGGGCCCCAGATGGCCCCGAAATGACCTCAGAGGGCCTCAAGACGGCCCACGAAAGCCCCCGCGGGCGCCCAACGCGGTCAAACAGAGCCTCGAGATGGTTCCATATCGCTTCCAAACGGCCCGCGATGGCCACGAAACGGCCCGCGAGGGCCTCGAGACGTCTAACGGGGCCTCCAATAGGGCTCTCACGAGGGCCCCTAGAATCCCAAACCATTGATTTTCCACCGCCACCACCGCAGA